TAACTATTATCAATATCAATATCAATATGAACAACGAATTTATTTATCGTCCAGTTATTACGAGGTGAGAATTTCTTTATGGAATTTGATATTGGTACTAACAGAAATGATTTTAAATAGTATAAATTTTAGAAGAAAAAATAAAATACTTGTGAACGTTGTAATATAAGAAAATACTTGTAAAATGCTTCTAACTTTTTCAAAAAAAAAAATATTTTTTCCGATTTTTCCGGAATTTACTCAAAGTTTTTTTGTATTCAAATGAAATTTCTATTCTTTTTTTCACTATTTTTTTTCAAAAAATTTTTGTAAAATTTTTTTCAACTTTTTTTTTGAATAATTTAAACGATAAAAAATTCTTTATGGTTTTATTATTTTAAAAATTTATTTTGTATTTTTTTGCTTAATTAATAAAAAAATATAAGATAAACATAGTACAAAATATATTATTATAAAATATAATATTAAATATTATAAATATATTATTTTAAATGATTTTACTAAATAAATAAAAATAAATAAAATATAAAATATCATTCTATTTTGAATTATATTTTGGCGATTTTTTGTATGGTATTATATATGGTTTTTTCTCCTCTCAAATTTTCATAGAATAGCGAATTTTTATAAAATTTTCATAGAATTTTCATAAATCAAGTAATTGTCGTTTGGCGAAATATAAAATTAAAATAATGCGAAATATAAAATTAGCTAAAAATTCGATTATTGAATGATTTAATGATTTATTAAAAAATAATGCGAATGCAACCATGGATTTTGGTTATATTGCTGCAAATATTCGATAAAATTTGTTTGATTATTGAATTACTAAATCAAATAGAATAAGTAAAGGAAAATTATTCGTTAAATTTGTTCAGCTTTTTAGAATTTCGTTCAATAAATACTGAAATGGTACTTTCTTTATTTTATTGAATTATGAATTGTTCTTTAGCTAAATCGTTTCGTGGGAATCTTTTTCTTTGGGAATCTATTGTGAGAATTGTAGGATCTATTTGAAGTCTGAAATCTCAAATTCCCTCTTATATTTTTGCTAAAATACAACCAAAAAATTATCGAAGTACATGGGAGAATTAGGAATAAAATGCTAAAAGAAACATGACGTAGAAGAATTTTTCTAAAATTTATTTTTAAAGAGATTTAAATGAAATTCGAATTTTTCTTTGGCCTTTTTTATTGTTATTCGTACTTCATTTTCCTACCAAATGTTAATTGTGAAATGTTTGAATAATCGTACAAATAAAAATAAAGAAAAATGATAAAATTTTGAGGGAAATAATTTATTAACAAAGAAAAACTAATAAAACAAAATTAATTAATTAGACATATTCCGCGAAAAGATTCTTGTTCATTCATAAGAATTGGACTGCTTTATTGAAAAATAAAATCCGAGAAATTTCCACATAAATACAAATTTGGAGCTAAAGGCGATTTTTATACCTGCTTGTATTATTTCTAAGAGAAAAGATATAGTAATATATTTAAAATCATAATTATCAATAACTTGAGCATATTTTTTAAATTATCGAGTACAGGAAATAGGGAATAGAAAATATTTAACGTTCGATCATTTTTTTACGACTCTTATCAATTGAGCTCCGTAAATATTCTTTGTAAGAATAAATATCACCATCCCATTTTGTCACTGTTTGATTATTGCAGATCCAAATTTCTTCAGCCACCTATAGTTAATAAATAAAATAATTATATGAATTAAATTCATAATTATATGAATTAAATTATTGTTGAATTATATGAATTAAATAATTAAATAATATATAAAATAATTTTATAAATAATAATTTTCTTAAAATAAATAAAATTGATTCTATTTCAAACATTGATTCTATTTCTATAATTTATAGTTAAATTTCTAAAAAAAAAACCACTCGAAATTTCACTCAAAATTTTTTTTCATACTTTTTAAAAATTTTAAAACGTACTTGATGAACGAGACGAAAATCGTGTGATACCAATATCAATCCTCCTTCAAAGCAATTAATGGCATCTGCGAGTGCATCAATACTATCCATATCGAGGTGATTTGTTGGTTCATCAAGAAGTAAGAGATGAGGCTGCTGCCAGGCCAACCAAGCGAAGGATACACGACATCGTTGCCCATCAGACAACTGTTTCATTGGACATATCTAAATAATTCACCTTTCGCCTCCAAAGGAATCAAAAAAAAAAAAAAAAAAACCTTTTATAAACTTAATGATGGATTGCCAATGAAAACAATAGAAAATATAATTACCGATTAATTAAATTACTGATGAAAAAACGATTAAAATAAGAAGAAACAAACTTGTTCTCTGCCAGATAAACCGTATCTACCAATTATCTTTCGCATTTCTTCTTTTTCTCGCACATCAGGAAAGGATAACATCATGAATTCCAAGGCTGATTTTTCCAGTGGCAACTCTTCATGCAAATGCTAAAATTATGAAAATTATTTCAAATAAATTTACTTAATACAATAAAAAAGCAAAGAATTAAAATAAATATAGTAATATAAAATATAATAACATTACAACCTGATGATATCTACCAATTTTGCAGTGGGAATGACGCCTGATTAGACCATTTGTTGGCATAACCTCATTCGTAAGCAGCTTCAACAAAGTCGATTTGCCAGCACCATTAGGACCAACCAGTGCTATACGCGCATCTAGATCAATTCCAAAATCCAGATCTTTGTAGATTAAAGGCTGAAATATTTTTATTTCTTTTATTTTTTATTTTTATATATGAAATATCTGCCAAGTTTCGTTCCTATCTAAAATTAATTTAATTTACTAACCGAATCTGGCTTATAACGAAATTCAACATGCTGAACCATAATAACTGGTGGAGGAATTGGGCCTGGATCGAAGAAATAGAATGGCTTTACCTGCATTTGAGCTCTTATGAATAAAATAAAAAATACAAATGATATTGAAAAGTGATACGAAATGATTATAAGAGAAATTCATAAAACATGACGGGCACTTTAATTTAATGGATCAAAAAATTTAATTTATACCTTTTCAACGACTACTTTCTCCGTCAATCCACCAGCAATCATCTTGGCCATCGTTTTTTCCTTACTCTGAGCTTGCCTAGCCAATTTCGCACTACCATGACCAAACCTCGCGATGTAATCCTATTTAAAAATTATTAGAAAATTTTATTAGAAAATTTAAAATTATTCAGATATTTTAAAAATAAATATCTGTTAGATATAACAATTTGGAATATTTGAAGCGATTCGAGAGATCACAAAAAAGAAAATTTATTGAATAAAATGGCCCATTTCGAAGATATATAAACAAAGAACATCATTTAAAAATTATATTTAACTAACTATTAAACTATCTGGAACCAACAATAATAAAGAATGATATAATATACCTTCATATCAGCCAACTGGTCTTGTTCCCATTTATACCGTTTCATTTGATTTTCTAATAATTCCGTGCGAGTTCTAACATAAGTATCATAATTACCCTGAAATATTCGAATCACTAAATTATAAAAAATAAAATTATAAAAGAGAGAAATTCTAATAATAACATATAAATATAAACACAGAAAATATAAATATTAATCTGATGATAACCTGATATATAATCGAGGAAATCATCAAGTTTATTCAAAAAAATTTTTTTTCCACAAAATTTCTATGCCTTAATGGGTAACAAAAAAATTATCTATAAACGAATATTTAATATCTTCAAAACATTCAACAAAATATCGAATAAAATTTTAACAATGAAAAACCGATATTTACCCCGTAATAATTCAGTTTATTCTGGAATAAGTGAATTATATTTGTACAAACTCCATTCATAAAATCCTGTGAATGTGATACAATCAGTAACGTTCGTTTATACCTTGAATAATTTCAAATAAAACGCCATAAAAAATAATTACTGCTAAATATGGCGAAAAGATTTATCTATGCAAGAAGCAAAAAATGAGCATATTCGTGCCATAAAAAATGAACCAGTAATGATGAGCCAGTGACCTTTATCAATCATTTCGAAACAAAAGAAAAGTGGAAGAGAAATTGTTTTGCATGGAATTTTTTTGACTAATTTTCATATAAAATTAACGAATAATTTTAACATATGATTCTAAAGTTGTAAATTAAACAAAAAAAATTACCTAGAGAGTTCTTCTTCAAGCCAAACGCAAGCTTCTAAATCAAGATGATTTGTAGGTTCATCTAACAATAGCAAGGACGGTTTCAGATAAAGCGCTCGTGCAAGAGCAATTCGCATACGCCAACCTCCTTCAAAAATCATTTCATAAGTTTTAAAAAAATGAATAGTATTCTTCAGTATATACTGTTATTGAATTTTCTGAAATAAATATGAAATTAAACATGAAAGACACCAGCTAATAAACAAACCAGAAAAATCAGCACATTTTTTAAGCATCATTGAGCGGGTGAATCCTAAACCGTGCAAAATTTCAGCTGCTTTAACTTCAGCTTTATCAGCATCCATCTCTTCCAATCGATCATAAATATCCAACAATTTTTCTTGACTTTCTATAATTTTCAGCTAGGTTAAAAGAAATGAACTAAACAGAATTAAAAAAGAATTTAATTTAAAAAAAAGCCACAGTAATATGGCGGTTTTAATCGTTAATTGTTTAATTATGTATACCGAAAATCTTTGGTCGCCTTAAATACACCAAAAAAAAACCTATAATGATGAGCAAGAAAACTAAAAATGAGCAACAGACAAATTTTATCTCAAATCATTGATGTACCGTCAAATTATTATGCAGACAGGTATTTAGCTTATAATTCGTATCTCACACTTAATCTATGGCAACAAGAGAGAAAGAAAATAAAATTAAAATTGGTAGATTTGAATTTAAGAACTCACAGCCCCTAATAATAAAAAGATAGAAAAGATGAAGAGGTGCACAAAGCAGTATATTTTAAGGGAACACAGTAGAATAAAAAGGCTTTTAGCGAGGATAGCGATAGATCTTATAGTTTCGAACCCAGGAATATTTCCAGAAGTATTAAGCAATATATATAAATAAATTTGTGAAAAAAATTCTGTATTAGAATTGCACTGGAAAAGCAAGATGGCTGAAACTATAAATATATCTAACTATAAAATATAAAACTGCAAAAGGCCACGACTGCGATATATACGGAGAGAAAATAAAGGGAATTTAATATTCATGGAAAATAATGGAGATTCATGGGTACGAGAATGATAAGGTTCGAAAAGAATGATTCTGGCCATTAATAAAAGCTGCTGGCGACTTTACAACAGAAAATAATTTGAAAGTAAGTAAATACTTTCACAGGCTCAATTCCTAGATTGAGCAGAAAATGTGAAGGATATATTTTAATCATACCATCATCAGTATTAGAAGCGAGTTCCTCAGCCTGTTTCTCCAGTGCTCTCCTTTCTTCATCCACATCACAAACAGCCCAAAATTAATAAAGTGAGAACAAATGGCGAAAATATTTATTTTAAACTAATCAATAAACAAAATAATAATATCTTTTGAAATCAAACCTTCAACGCTGAATCATAACTAGCTGCCATTTCTCTGGACACCAGGAACATATCAATATGATCAGGAATCGGCAATTCCCGACGAAATATAGCTTGCATTAAAGTTGATTTACCTAAAAATCTGAGCCAAAGATTATTCATAAAATGGTCGATTCTCCGATTCTCCTTGACCAAAATAAAAATAAATTTGATATCAAAAAAAAAATTCGAATGATGCTGGTGACCATCCACATTTCTATAGTCAAGTTTCCTTGGCAAAAATTTCTAATCCAGCTTGGATTTAGCCAGCCATAAATTCACTTTTCACTTTTAAAAGTGCAAATCACTTTTTATTTATGCAATTTTTATTTGTCTAGATTCAACTCATTTCGCAAAAAAAGATGTATGCACAAGAATAACAATAAATTTACCACTGCCGTTAAGACCAATTAAGCCATAGCGACGACCCATATTTAATTCAAGCTTGGTATCGGTAACAATTTCTTTGCCATAGAATGTTATCGTTAATCCTTCCACTTTAATGTCCAACGATCTAAAAACTATCAATTCAGAAAGAATATTCTAAAAACTATTAGTATTCTGTAAAGTAAATGATACTGTCAATTATTTTCTTGTGGTTCTAGCAGAAAGAAGAAAACTGATTAAAGCATAACAAACAATTGATGCGATGTTAAAGCTCCAGCAACTGATCGAGCCTGTGCATTCTCTAATTCCAATTTCTCAAGCAATGCAGCGGCCACATCCAACGTATTTTCGACATCTGTTTAAAAGAAAACAAATAATATGAAATGATAAATCAAAAAATATTGTAAAAACAATATAAAATTCGTAAAATAAAATATTACTTAAGTTTTGCAAAAATTAAAAAAAAATTATACCCTCCATCCATGAATTTCATCCATTAATTATGAATCAAAATATTGTAATATCACAAAAATCCCCTATATTTTGAACCCTTTGTAAAAATCCTCATTAAATATATACCACTAAAACCCTTTTACTTCACTATTTATAATTTGACAAACACCACTGAATTCTGTCAAACCCTTAGACACAACTCCAATTCCTTTAGGTCCAACTCTAATCCCTTAACACCAATCAGTCCTTTCCTTTTATGCTTCCTTAATTTATATCGTTTCAAAAATTTTCAAACCCATTAATTCTACCGAAGAATATTCTTCAGTTGCGATTTGATTGGAAGATAAAAATTTGGGAAATCGCAGGTGTCCTAATATTTGCCGAAATAATGACCAATCAATTAAGAAAGCAACATAAATAATTAAACATAATTAAAAGCATCTTCTTTTGCCTCAAATATAAAATAAAAATTAATATATAATATAATATAAAATAATAATAAATAATAAATAAATAGATATAAAATAAAATAAAAAATTACCTCCACTTTGCAAGTCTGTTTCTTGATTTGCAGGTGATTCGCATCTTCCATTTGTTTCCTTTTGTCAAAATAAATTAATCAAAATTTAGCTGATAAGAAATAAGAAAAAAATATCTAAAAAATGCATCTTTATCAAAGTATAAAAATATTTCCAATGACAATCGAAGCACTTATAATTATGACTTCTAACTTCTTCTAAACTAGAAAGCAATATAAATAAGAGCACTAGAAAAGTGGTTGCAATGGCAGATTCCAGGAATAATATCAGAGATATCTCTATCCAGAACAATGTGCTATTAAGAGTAGCTAATAGATATCGCGCAGAACCCTTAATCTCTCAGGTAGACGACCTGAAGTTGAGGATGATCAATACCACCTATCACCCATAGCGAACTTTTTTTTCTTTTTAAACAAAATTGGAAAAACAAACTTTTTTATTATCACGAGCTTTATTGCGATTTTTTGCAGCCATTTTCTTAGCTGCATCTCGTTTCTTTTTTGCATCCGAAGGCATTTGAATTGAATTTGAATTTAATGTACAAAAAATAAAAAACAAAAAAAAAATATGGTCGTTCACAACGACGATCCAATTGAAATTTCGAGGTCAACAACACACTAAATATTAATAGATGAAATTAAATTTTTAAAAAAAAAATTGAAAAAATAAAATTATTCATGAAAGATGAAAGAAAAATATGAAAAAAAATGGAAAAAAATTTTTTCTCGAAAAATTATTGGCTTAAATTCTTTTCAAATTCTTTCCACCATAATTAATTTTATAATTAATTAATTTTAATTTTAATTTTCAATTAATATAATAATTATAATTCATAATTAATTTTAATTTTCAATTCTCTCTACTTTTTCAAACTTCCACTAAGGGATTAATCAGTATTGTTAGCAACACCCTCCCCCCTAAATCCCACAAAAATTCGACATTTACTGTCAATAACATATGAAACTGAAACCTTACGAGAAAGAACCAACCAACCGTCACCACAAGAATTTCCTAAAAACAATTCATTTAAGGCAAACAACAATTTAAAGATTTAAAATTGGTACCAAAAACTTTTCATAGCATTGCGCAGTTCTAAATCGCTCGATGGGCGGTCTTAAGTGATGTTCGCAAATCTTTTCTTTCTTCTAACAATTTATCATTATAAGTTAGATTGCTTAGGGATTTCCATCCCTAATGGTCGGGTACCATAACTGTTCTCTCCGCTGTTTTTTTTTGGTTTTCCGGTACTTGGTCTATTCTTTTTTGGTCTGAGGACGTTTGCTCTACTGGTTTTTTGATCTACCACAAGTGAACGCAAATAGAAGGTGCCACATAAAGTCACATAAAGTCTCTCTTGATAGTACCAATCCAGGTCTCCTCGCTTAGATAACCTCGATTTTGGGGTTATTCGCCTTAAGATTTCCCTGCAATGACCTAAGCCAGTTTTAGTCAATGCTATTTAAGAATACTAATGCATATCATTCTATCCACTTGGCTAGTAAATAAGATTCGCTTTAGGCTGGAATGGCCAAAAATAGATAGTTTTTTCTTAATATTTTCCACTCTCATTAATTGTTTCATAGTTGCAGAACGGGATTCTGTGCGCAATTCTGCTAGGCATCTATCGATTAGCATATCAATTTTCTCATTGAATTTTCCTATTGAATCAACTGGGAATTGGTTTAATCATTAGTGATAAAAGTTCATCATAACGATAGGCGAATGAAAAAAAAAAAACGCAGACATACTGATAAAATCAAATCAAATCAAATCAAATTATGCAACAAATCAACTTATCAACTTCAATAAACTCAAAAAGAAATTATATTATTTACTTACTTATTTATCCCAATTATTTTATTCCCAATTATTTCTGGTTGGGGTTGTTCCGCTGGCCTGTCGGACCACAGCCAGAACTTTTCAGCGATAGAGGTGTACGAGCGAGTCACCAACACCATCCAGATTTTAGAAAGACAGATTTACTCTTTCTGGAAATAGATATAGGTATTCTAAAATAGGAACGAAAAACGACTTTTGCCCACAATTAATTGGTTATATTTTTACAGGTGAGTCGCCAGCTCCACCCAGATTTTTCTACAGGTTTATTCCTGCAGGGAATCGAACCTCAGCATCAGCGCTCCCAATTGAACAACAACCCACTGAGCCATTCTATCCCTAGTTCATGGAAATTCCCATTTATTAAATTCTTTTTTTTTCCAGATGATAAGCAGATGATTCCACACGAAACAAGATGAAACTTCAAGCTGTTACGCTAAATGCGCGCAACTCCACCTAGGATTACCTTTTAGAATTTAAGAATCTAAGACATTTTCGAGCTAAATATTTCCAGTCTAAACTTCATGAGTCATGCATGATTCGTTGCACTTGTTTTTTCATGTTGTCACCAAAAGTGTTTGCTAAAAGAATTTAAAATCACCTATTATTTCTGGAATGAAAAGGAGTTTGCAGGAAGTTAGGATGAACAAAACTATAAATAATACTTCAGCTAACGTGTCAACAACGTGGAAAAATATGCGTCCACAAATCGAAACATACAAAAAAAAACGGCTTGAACTATAATATAAAAATGATACAATGGTCTGTGTGGTGATTTGTGATTCGACTCATATTCGCAGTAGGGAGCCTGTGGAACTTGTCCTAAATCTCATTCTCACTTACTCGGTTAGTTGTATTTAATAAATCGAAAAGTAGTAAAATGGCACAGTGAGTTGTTGCCTTTATTTTTTGTCATATTCTTTATTACTTGCACCAATTTAAATATCATGAAGTCCAAATTTTTTATGCATTATAATGTTTATAGATGAACCTAAATTTGGGAAAAATATAGGGTTGTAATATTAAAATTAATATATAGCTACAATATTTGACATATAATACTCAATTGGAATGGTTAGAACGATTACGGTAATTAGGAGCTGGTAGCAATTGTCTGTCGATCGACAAATTAACACCGGAGGGATTGTTTCTAATTGATTTCTCTTAAGGGTAAAATCGAGGGTCGATCGATAGTAATAAATTGTTTGTATTTTATTAAATAAATTATGGCCGATACAAAGAAATTTGATGCGAAAAAATTTCTAATCGATTTAGCATCAGGTGGAACGGCTGCAGCCGTTTCGAAAACTGCTGTCGCACCAATCGAAAGAGTTAAATTACTTTTACAGGTTTGTTTCTTTTTTTTTCCCTACTAATATTGCTATAGTACTTTTTTCCTTGACGCACATTCGAATTTTTTTTTATTTTCGATGATTTAAAGGCGAGAAAATTATTGAAAGAGAGAGAGAGAGAAAATAAAAATTTTAGCAGTTTAATGACGTAATTATTTATTGAAGAAATAACGATTATGAAAGATAAATCTCATTTTTTCTCGTTCAATATTTTATTTATAAATATTAAAAGAAGAGAAAAATCCGACTAAATAACTTTGTGATAATTTTTTTAAAATTCTTTTCGACTAATTGCCAGCCGAATTTAGAGAAGTGGGTGGGGAGAGGGGTGCGGCAGAATGTCTCATGCGCAGGCGCTGAAATTCTCTTCCTCACAAGAAGTCCAAAACCTAAATCCGGATGATGCTGGTGGCTCACTTGTACTTCTATCGACAAGAGGCCACCTGGCATATTTGTGTAGAACAAATCAGCGGAGCGAGTCTTACCAGTAGTAACGAGGGTTTTTAAACAAAAAAAAAATTGCCAGCCGAATTAGTCCAATCAGAAATAGTGAGTTTTTTAGGGATGGAGCTTAGTCTTACTATAGTCTTATTTTTAAGTTTTAAAAGTTATCGCTTTCATCTTTTTGTTGATTTTTAAGTTATTATTATTATTTTTTTCTTGTAAGTTAGTGGTTTTTTATTACTTGTTTCCTTTTTGGTTTCACTAGTTGCTACCCTTTCGTGCAATAGTCATTTGGAGATAAGAATATATGTACGGCAATTCCAGTAGTTATCCAAATTCCTTGAATGGTTTAATGATGGGCTTATTTCCTTCCAAAGCAGCACAAGCAGCACTTGTTTCGATTCTACAATTTGTTAGGCTGATCGTAGGGATAATGTTATTTTGTTTTGCTTATTGAACTTTTAAAAATTTAATTTTTTAGCAGAAACTATATAATTTAAGGTGCAACATGCGTCGGCAACAATAAGCGCAGAAAAACGTTATAAGGGTATATTTGATGTTCTTATTCGAGTGCCTAAAGAACAAGGCTTCTTATCGCTATGGCGTGGCAACTTTGCAAATGTTATTCGATATTTTCCAACGCAAGCATTGAATTTCGCCTTCAAAGATACCTATAAGAAGTGGTTTGTTGCTGGGATTGATAAAGATAAGGTTCTTTTTTTCATTAGAATCAGAATCTCAAACTTAGAATTACATAGAATCATATAAAATAGAATACAATCACATCAGATTTTTAAACTTTAAATTTCATCAAAATGCGTTGCACCTCATTAAGCTTTTAAGGCAAATTTCAACTGCATTCCGTGAGATTTTATATAATGTTTGTATTATCATTTTCTAGCAATTCTGGAGATTCTTTGGTGGTAATCTGTTGTCTGGTGGCGCGGCCGGTGCAACATCATTATGTTTCGTATATCCTCTAGATTTTGCTCGGACAAGACTTGCAGTAGATGTTGGAAAGGGAGCTGGGCGAGAATTCAAAGGCTTATCAGATTGTCTTATTAAAGTCTTTAAGTCTGATGGTCCAATTGGCTTATATCGAGGGTTCTTTGTCTCTGTTCAAGGAATCATCATCTACCGTGCAGCCTATTTTGGTCTATTTGATACGATTAAGATTTTTTTCTCTAGCGAAAAGAAGCTCAATTTCTTCGCTGCTTGGGCTATTGCGCAGGTATTTCTTGAAATTAAAAGAATTCGCTTATAATTTTGGTTGATAGTTGATGGCCGGAAAGAAATATATGAAATCTTTTAGGTAGTCACTGTTGGATCTGGTATATTGTCATATCCTTGGGATACTGTCCGGCGACGTATGATGATGCAGTCAGGTCGAAAAGATATCCTGTACAAAAATACATGGGACTGCGCAATGAAAATCATTAAAAATGAAGGAGCTCCAGCTTTATTCAAAGGAGCCCTTTCGAATATCTTTCGTGGTACCGGCGGTGCATTAGTTTTGGCCATATACGATGAAATCCAGAAATTCCTTTAAATTTGTTAGCTAGAATTTATTGAAAATTTTTGACAATTTTTTCGAGGTTCTCAATTTGTGATCTTGACACCATTAAATTAAGTAGGTAATTTAATGTTCAGAGAATTTGGTTATGGATTTTTTTTGAGTTTGTCCAAATACCAATAGAAAGTTATGAATTTGTTGTAATTGCTACGCTTTAAGAGTTGATAATAAAATTGTAGTTGTTTAAATTTTAACATAGGCACAAGATTCAATGATTCAAGCTTTTATATACAAGAAATAGTGCATACAATTAGTTCATTTGGATTTCATTTTCATTTTGTTCCTTCCTGGAAGAAGCGTTATACGTGCTTTGTTCCTTCATGAATTGAAATTTTCTATCTAACAATAACTTGTGGAGGAAATTTAGTGATTGCCCGCATGAGAAACCGGTCAATTGAACTATTTTTAAACTAAATTTAGAAATTTAATCTAACGATCTACCATTCGTTGACCGACTATCGTAATTCTCTATGTCTCTATCAATACACTATAAAAAACTAGACAAATGAATTATCGAACTGCAAATTGGTTCTCTCGGTATAAATTTTTCTTGAAGTATTTAGGAATACAAATATCTGACAACGATTTCGATAAAATACGCATTCTTTTTAGCGATCTTTGATTTACATTTTCTATACACACTTTACAATTCCATTATCAGCATTAAATATTAAATTATAAAATGAAACTCAAAAATGCAAATAAAAAATGGCCGAAAGATTTTATATAAAACACAAATTATTCGATCATCCTTTATTTCTAAAAATTAATAAATAAGTAACAAAATTAAGTACATATCAATACATATCAACTTTTGTAATGACAATAACTGATAATAATTAAATAATAATTCATATATCACCAAAAAGCATAAATAATAAGCAATAAATTATTTAATAAAACGCATTAGCAGTCAATAAAACCTTTAAAATAGTCATGTCGTAAAGCAGTTTTTGCATCAATACGATGCACTGGATTACAAACCAATAATTGCTGAAAGATTTCGTTATATAGTTGCATCGCAATATTTTTTCGAGAAAACTCAATAGAAAGCATTAATTACGATTGATTTGATAAAGAAAGAAAAACGGACTTGCAATAAATCGCGGCCTGTTGCTGATAAGTTCGGCACCACCTGATTAAAAGTAACAGATGGATAAACCACAGACATTGGCTGAAATCGAGAAAGAATCAAGCTTAAAATCAGAAACAATTTGTATAGTACACACAATTTACATAAAGTTAAAACAATAAGCTTGTTCGATGAACAATTGGATTACTTTATAATCTGGAAGTTGTGATAATGATGGCCAAGTTTGTTCAGTAGGTGTACCTAAAACCTTGAAAATTCGCTTAATTTGATCCTCTACATCAGCGCCAGGAAACAGCGGACGACCAGCATTTGCAATTTCTGCAGCAATAACAATAATGTTAAATTAAAAATGATAAAACAGTTTATATCGCAAATTTAAAAGCAAAATACCTGCAAAAATACATCCGGCTGACCACATATCAATTGATGTATCGTAAAGCTTTGCACCGAATAATACATCTGGAGGTCGATACCACAACGTAACTACCTGAAAATTTTCCGTTTTAAGAAAAATATGATGGATGAATTATAAACATTATAAACAAAGAAACTATTCTAAAAAATGCCTTCTAAATAACAATCGCAATAAAGTTGAATTTAAAATATAAATAAATAAATAACGAATAAAGTTGAATTTAAAGATTGAAAAGTATCAATCTAATCAAATCAGAAATTGTGTGCGTTGTTGTAAAAAAAAAAAAAAAGTCGATTATTAAAGATTTTCGATAAACGTTACCAATTACGATTACTAAAGGATGGCAAATAAATTTTTATAAATAGTACCAACTAGCTCATAAAATACCCATAATTCGCATATGAAAGTGATAAAAAATTAAACGAAATCTCGCTGAGCAAGTTTTATCGTGGATGACTTCGAAATCGGGGAACATAATGAGGATTCTAGGATCCACAAGAGATTTAAACACAACCCCGATATAAATAGAGGAAAAAAGAACGGCTTATTTTTCAACATGGCATCAGACCAAGAGGTTTGAAAATGGAACAAATGGATAGAGCAAAAATGCGAAAATTAATATCTTAAGCAAGATTATGGCATCATTAGATTCCTATCCGAGATTATTAACGCGAATGCTTAGCTGATAAAATCACTCTAATGTGTTCAATAATTTCGCCAAGACGCATTGGTTGCCACTCACTCCAGATTCTGTTCGAATAAAGTTGAATTTAAAATAAAATATTTAAAAAATATGAAAAGTATCAAATCAGAAATTGTATGCGTTGTTGTAAAAAAAATAAGAAAGTCGATTATTAAAGATTTTCGATGAACGTTACCAACCTCAGCACTATAACATCTTACCGGGATGCCAAATGCTCGTGCAAGCCCAAAATCAGCCAATTTCAATCGCATATTCTTATTAATTAAGAGATTCTGGGGTTTGAGATCACGATGAAGAACATTATTAGTATGACAAAAAAAAAGACCTTGCAATAACTGATACATTAACGACTTGACTAGCTGAAAAAATTCTTAACTTTTTATAAATTTTTCAAATTTAATCAATAAAAATCAAGTCAAATTCTTAAATAAACAATTTTCAATAAACTTTTATTAACTTGTTGATCGATTTCTCCATTACATGAATCGAAATATTTTTTTAAATCTTGATCGCAATATTCAAAAACAAGCGTAAGTTTACGCTCACTATGAACAACATCATAAAGTCGAACAATATTTTCATGTTTCAACTCCTTCAGTAGGCAGATTTCACGTAAAGCTGAACTTGGAACTCCCTAAAATCATATTATAAAAAAATTGAAAATAAATAAGAGATAAAAATTCAGATAAAAATTTTATAACCTATTCGAGAAATAATAAGATATAATTGCTAAGCGATCTGAAATATTTTATTTGAAAAAAATAATTATTTTTTCCATGTTTAGATGAAATATCACTTCACTGAATTAAACATGATTTCTCAGTGATTAAATTAACTTTCAATTATTTTAATTTGGTTGCAAACTGCAAATCAGGAAAAATTTTGGAAATATCCAAACAAATAATCATTTATACATATCACCATTTTTCTAAACCACTCATCATTTCCTAGTTCCACTAATTACTTCGCCAAATACTCATTTAGGCATAGAAGTATAGATAAATTCCCATATTCCCATCAATTGTTCAATTTTAAATGACAAATTTATTCATACAAATAGACAGAAACCTATGACAAATTGATTTTAATCTCCCATTCGATCTCTTGATGATTTCCTCATAGAAATAAATAAAAATCTCCATTACATCTCAATCGACATCAAAATAAAAAAAGAGTAAGAGTAAAAGAATAATTTTAAAGGAATAAGAATAAAACCTCGTCATCATCGTCTAATCTAACACATTTCAATGCGACAATTTCTTGTGTCTCAACATTTTTTGCTTTGAAAACTGTACCATATGTACCTTTAAAATAAATTATCAAAAATTAAAATAATCTGAATTTAAAACGAAATTTTAACTATTTTGTAAAAATTCTTGAGTAGTTCATATATAACATAACATTTCTCAATTATTTTACCAATATTTATGTATTATGGTATTGAAATGAAAACTGCAATATATTAAGCATTGCAAAAATAAAAATAAAATAGCTAGCATATTATCATGAAACTTTACAATTTATCAATGAAGAAAATTATTGGTAAAAAAACGGTTCAACAATGAGATAAAATTCGTCAATGATGAAGTAAAATGCTGGTAAAGAATGATTAGTTGTAGGCAATAAAGGATAAAACGAATTATGGTGATCTATTCGAACCTAAAACAAATCTTTATATGAAATTAATTAAAAAATATTATAAATATATTTAAAATATATTTTATACCTTCGCCGATTTTTTCCAATTTTTCATATTTCTGCATTGAAAAATTCACATGAAATCCTAAGTAAGTTGAGAATCAAACAATTCCATATTTTAATAAATAGCTAAATAAAAAATCTGAAAATGCAAAAAAGCCTTAAGGCAAAAAAAGGCGATTTAACGATTTAATATAGTGCTGAAGTATGAACAGGAAATATGAACAAGAAAATTTTTAAATTTTACCGATTTAAATTATATTTATAATTTATATAATTTATTTTAAATAATTTTTATAATTTATTTATTATATTTTTAAATTATAAAATTAAATGGATCGATTTTTTTTTGAAATAAATGAGTAATGCTAAAACCAATTAATGAAAATAAATGAAATAAAATATCTTACAATATAAAAAATATTAGGGGATAGAATGGCTCAGTGGGTTGTTGCTAAATTTGGAGCGCCGATGCTGAGGTTCGATTCCCCGTGGGAGTAAACCTGTCTAAAAATCCGGGTTGGCGACTCACCTGAGCTTCTATCGCCAAGGAATTTCCTGACACATTTGTCCAATGCGACAAGCCAGCGGGGCGAGTTTAACCAGTAATGATGAGGACTCTTTAAAAAAAGTATTTGTGAAAAAAAGCAGCGCTACAAATCAATAGTAATAATAGGAAACTGAGAAATATAAATACTAATTTCATCAAATTAGAAATATCATATCATAGTCACCAGTGGAACGAATTAAATGAGCAATGGTGCGAGCTTCAAGAAGAAAAAAAGGTGAAAAATGAGGTTGCAAAATTTCGATTTTACCATGAACAATTCTTTCCTTTTAAACTCAACTAATTTAAAAAAAAACAGTGAGGAAAGATTCTGGCTAAATGATTCTTAAGCGGAAAAGACTTATCCTAGTAATCAAATGGAAAAGCCTAACAGAAAATAATGGACTTGACCAGAGGTATCAAAGGCCAGAAGCCGTGGTAATGTGGCCCTTACGAATCAATAAATTTTCAGCATTTACGAATAATTTTCTATCGTTGAATCTGAGAATGATAGTAGTTTCATGAAAATAAAATAAAAAATTAGCTTAAGCTGACGGCTTTCCTTTTAATTATATAATAAAAAAATTAATGATTTAATAAAATTAATGATTAAAAATAAATGAATTCTTTTTTTTTCATTAATTTTTTTTTTTAATTTCCTTTATATTTATATTTTATATGTGAGTCAAGACAATTCCTCGTCACTTGACACGTCCCAGGACAATTCCTCGCCATTCGTTCCATTCCGAAGGCAATTCCTCTCTACTTAAAGTCGCCTAAGGCAATTCCTTTTCGCTAATTATGCTCAAATAAAGCCAAAATTTTCAATACTTAAGGTTTAAAATTATTAGAAAGGGAATAGATAAATGAATAAAATCTGATTTAAACAAATAAATAAATGAAAATGCTAAATTTACTAACATATTATTAAATTTAAAAAAATATAAAATAATAAAAATATAAAATAATAAGATTCTTGGAAAATGTCCAAATATTTTTAACTTTGCTAGGATCCAAATTCTAGTATTTTAAAATCTAACAGCACAAAATCATCGAAATACTGAAAAAAAAACTGGGATGAGATGTTATGCCAAATTTATTGAAAAAATCGATCATCAGTGTTTGGCTCGTCCTCGCATGGGAAATAAATATGTCGCAGGCGGGTTTTTATAGTAGGGGGGTACAGAGATAGAGAGGGAAACGTATGGTACCAATAATGTGGTCGATTTTAATCGCCTTATCTCAATTATATGACTCGAGCTTTCGGTTTAAAAGATTGAAGAGAGATCTTATATCTTAGTTAGTTTTTTTTAAAAGATTGATAATAGGAAGATCCACTCGTCGGGTGATAAATTTCTTCAACAAAACCATAAAATAAACATTGAAATCGCAGTGATACTGAGGATTTTTCAACAAATATCAAATATCCATTTTGGTTCATGGAACTAGCCAAAGCACAAATGGTGCAGTTTGGAGCGCCTATGCTAAGGTCCTATTCTTCGTAGTGATAAACATGTCGGAAAATTCGAGTGACGCTGGTGACTCATATCTACTTCTATCCTCAATGGACTCCTTAGAATATTCGTTCAATGATTGAAAATATTAAACTATAACAAAAGCGCAAAATTTGGTTATTCTCGCTTGATTTTCAATGAAAACCCTCATAATGCTCGCTATATTCCTATATAGTGTTGGTACCATTATAATAAACTCCAATATATGACTAAATTCATTGAAATATAATAAAGTTATATGGTTGATATTAGTTTCTCAGAATCTTACGCAACTCTTCTTATCTTTACTGTTTAGACTCGCTCCGCTGGCTTATAGCACTAAATAAATATACCAGGAAGTCAATTTGTGATATAAGTATAGATGAGTCTCTAGCACAACCCGGGTTTATGGGTAGATTTACTCGCAAAACTTAATAAATTATCAAATTCCATTAATTGCTTCATTAACAAACTTATAGAACCTAAAACCTATAAAAGTAAACCTATCATGATATCAAAAACTCGAATGGCTGCTGCGGATCTACCTGAAACTGTAGTACTCAAGCAACTCAGATTTTTCCTGGCACGGCATCTGCTCCTCCGATTCGTATACTTTTCCAATCCAGTGCTACATGCCATAAGTGTGCAATTCGAATATAGTCAACCACACACAGTCCGATGTAAAACGAAAGCCTTTTTGTTTTATATAGAAAAAGCCAATACTTATTTCTATTTTTAGCAATACTTTGCCCAATTTTAAATATCCTCCAATCTCAAATGACCAAGCAAAAAATAAAATATAGTCTAGACAACGGTAATATGCATTCTACCAGCTGGCGAAATCTTTAGGGAGCTGTCGTGAAATCACTACAAAAAACAAAGTCAGCCAGCGTCTATACGGCTGAATTCCTCTCGATCTTGGTGGTTGATAAGAGTGGAGGATATCAAGAAATTATGTTCCTTTGACCATTCATGACTGAGGTTATACTTATGTTTAAGATTTTTTATTTATTTTTTTTATTCAAGATTATTTAAGGTTTAAAATGGAATGGCTCAGTGGGTTACTGCTCAGTTTGGAGCACTGATGCTCTAATCCTCGGAGAGGTAAATCTGTACAAAAATCCGGGTGATACTGGCGACTCATCTGTATTTCTACCGACAAGGGACTCCCTGACATATTACCCAATGCGACAAACCAGTGGAGCGAGTTTAACCAGTAATGTTGAGGACTCTTAAAAAAAATTTATGCATCTTCAATAAAATATTTTTTGAATGAAGTATACAAGTAACCACTTAAGCTTTTTAATTGAACTATCTTTATTTAACATACTAAGTAATGGTTCATGGAATATTTTGTTTTATAATAAAATATCATTTCTTCTATAAAATTTAACTGCAAGCAAAATATGTTTATAATATTTTGATTAATATAATATTTTGATATAATATAATATTTTGATTTGATAAGTTACAATATTTATTTCGATAATATTTATACAATATTTATTTTAAAATATTTCGATAATACGAATTCAAATAAATATGCTTATAAAATATTTATTAAGAATTATCATTTCTGATAACGAATATTTAAAAATATTTTGATTTGATAAGTTACAATCTAAAATATTTCGAGGAATTATAGTAAGCGAGGAATTCAAATAAACATGTTTATGAAATCTTTTAAAACTGTATACTTTTAAATTATAAATAGTTTCTTCTAGCATTTTCCGTATTATATTCGTACTTCGCTTTTTCCAATATGCGCCGGTTAATTGCTTCCATAAAATTTTTATATTATATAGAAATTTAAAGGCCAATTTCCTTTCTTCCACCTTCTTCTAACCATCATCGTTACTGATTAGGTTGATCTGGCTGGCTAAAAGTATGCGAGCATTTCCATGCGATTCGATCCATTGCCAAATCTTTTCCATCTTCTAAGCCCATTTATTATTATTTATTATTTGTTCCAGCTATACGTTCAGGATTTTATTGGATTTTCGATGAATGTTTAATTTTTATCAGAAATAAAAGTTTACAATTTAAAAAAATAAAAGATTCTATTTATTCATTAAATAATCGTACTTCCTTTGTTTCGTTTGATTAAAATAGAAATTTAATAATTTAAAATATTTAATTTCATCCATGCTTAAATTAACAATTTTTTTAAGTTCATCTATTGGGAATCATTTATCACTTTTGCTTTTAACTAAATTGTGATAGAGAATTTTATCAAAAGGATAATTTCAATGGCTACTTTTTGGTTCTACCTTCTTCAGTTTTACTCGATCGTCGTTTTGATTGCAGCGGTATTCATTTTTTTATTTCATAAGGAATTATACTATAAATTAATAAATTATTAAGTGAATTGGTGAATGGTGATAGAAATTGCAAATATTATGTATATATATATATTATATATAATATATAATATATATATTATATATTGTATATATAATATATATATATATATATATACATATAAGTATTTGTATATTATTATATATTATATATATAAGTATATATATTATGTAAATATTTCATGCTATATGATTTTAACGATTCTCGTGAAAACCTTTTGTCTTTTTCAGCAAAATTTCAAAGTCGATCCAAGCGCTATTGAAACATATAATATATTGAAATTGCAAAAACGTTATTCCTATCTTATCTTTCAAATTTCTGATAATAAAGTGATTATTCAAGAAAAAGGTGAACAAAATGAGCCGTATTCTACATTTCTGACGGTATTAAATCTTCATTTTTTCACTATAATGATTGTTGAATATTTTTCATTCATGAAAATTCCCTAGATAATACCATGAAAATCATCGTACATATGTATGCTTTCCAATTCATATAATTTTAAAATAAATTTTTTCATTAAATTTTTTTAACTAAGAGTTTTAAATAAATGTTAGACACTATAAATGAAATAATCATTAAAAATATTTTTTTAGTCATTCAAAAAAAATAATATATAAGTT